ATACACCCTCAATGTTATTTTAATAAATATATTTAAAAAAACTCTATAAATCAGTTGGTTTTGAAATAACCGATAAAAATGGTAATGATATTTTTTGGATTTCGGTACAATAAGGAGAATTTTTTAGAAGCTACATAAATTCGTACAAATATTTGTTTTTTCTTTAAAATATAGATATATTCGTTTTTCTTTAAAATATAGATATATATCTTTAAAATATACATAATTTCCTAAAATCGCTCTTATTTTCGATTAACAGCAATTGTTTATGGAATAAATCATTATTTCACGCCAACAATATCTTTTTATTGAAATAATTTTCATCAAAGTAGCTCAGGGTGTAGTTCCTGCGAACTCTGGTCCGGGGCAAGAACGTGTTACCTCACCATTAAGGGGCATTTCTTTTTGTACTATTGGAGAAATAATCAACGGCAGGATCACTTTTTTCGGTACCAACGTATATAAAAAGATATTCACTACCACAATTATTTCTTCACGTCATTCACAACGTTCAGAGAAAAAAAAATATACAGATAAATTTTAGAATACAACAATAATATCATGCCGCCGGTCTGGGATACACTCAATTCCGTGATTAAGACAAACAAACCTTATTTGCGATTGAAAGCAGTCCGAATATTTGAAACGCATCATGAACGAGAGAGCTGGAATGCATTCCATATACTGTTTCATGATGAACAGGTAAATATTTTTATTAGAATATCAAATTTATAAATTTATTTTATAAATTTATTTTTATTAGTATTTCGAATAATTTATTTTTTTTGTGAAAAAAATATTGTAATTAATATTTATAAATTTATTTTGTAGGGTGCATTTATTAAAGGCATAATACGTTCTACAAATATGGGAAGAATTTCGAGGTGTACTGAACGAAGGCGAGGTGTATGCAATCAGCAACTATGTCGTTGAATTTAATCATGGGAAGAAAGATATCATAACCAAAATATGGAAACTTGTGCTTCACAAAAGAACTCGTGTTATCAGATATGGTGGGATTTTCCCTCAAAATGGTGATCTTTTCCCTCAACATTAGCAAGGAACGTAAGATATTTATGATATTTTAGGGTTTGATAAGAATTCCAATTTACATTATGA